ATTACATTCATCACATATCATGAAAACTTAAACAGAGTATTTAACAATCGAGGGTCCCCAACAAAGTTGGGCAACTTTAGATTAAATCAACAGCAGGTAGTTCTCTGAAGAAACAATGACGTTGTGTTTAGCAACTTTGTACATCATGTTCTTTTTGGCAAATCAGATGGCGTGTATTGTCTGTTACCGCAGTAACATGATAATCTTGCTAGGGCACTGAATGTTAAGATGTGAGTTCTGCAGTACTTTATAAATGTAGGGGCATCGCTTAATGAAATACCTTTTCATTGAATGTTGTAGTATCATGCCCTTCATCACATGCAATGGTTCTTGCTGTGGTTCTGGAGGTCTGCCGCTTTCTACCTTCGTATCCGGGAAATCCGTGGGGATAGCAGCTTTCAGGATTGCACAAAAGGTGTACAAATACGCGATTAGATATTAAACCTACTGTGTGCCTAAGGTCGGGCCTCCTAGCTCTTTGGTCTTGTATCTTCTCAAAACAGTGGTGAAATCATTTTGTCAGACGCAGACACGTCAGGTTTGCTCTTCTCATTGTCCAGTGCAACGTTAGTCACTATGAATCGCATATGTATCCGCTTGTCAGGTATGTTCCAGGTTATCTGTCGACAAACGCACAGTGATCAAACAAGATGTACTGTACGATGACAGTGTTTCTGCAGGTACAGGCCACTACTTGAAAGACGAGAAGGCATGGCCATGTCCTGTGCCCTGTTCTTGCCGTCAGGCTCTTTGAGTCTACTGACTGAACCTGGACACAGAATTTCCCGCAGAATGACCTTAATTCACAGCCAAAGCCCTCCCTATTATCGACAAGGAACCTGATTTTTCTCGAACAAAAATCACCTAATAACCAAATGTTTTATTTTAATCAAATAATTAAACTCGTCGCACCAGAAGTCGTAGGAGTACGAACGTCGCAATCATTTCACACTCAGAAGCGGTCTGCGAATTTATATTCATGCTGGACCCAAACAGAAGCGAGAAACAGAAACAAAGCCAGCGTTGACTATTTCTCGAACAACAGGATCCAATGGAAATTGCTTAACAGCATTCCTATACGCAGCACGAAAGGATACCGGCACTAAACCTCACACGCTACAAAAGCGATGAACGAAGTGGAGAAAAATGCTGAACAGTTAAGATCTAACCACACGGGACGCAAATAGGCACTCCGCAACGTGCAAGGTGTAATTGACCATGCGATGATTCGGGGGTTATTTAGTGTCACGTTAACTTCTTCGGTTACGATCAGCCACCATTCTCCCCGGGTTACAACCCAATATCTTCACCCAGCGGCGTAAAAGCACGCTCTGACACATTACCGCGTCAAGATTCCAACAACGAAGGGCTCAGAGAATTGCAACTGAAGAGACCAGCAAACAAATTTCTCTGACCCAGCACATGATCAATTTACGACAGATTCCGGATCATCATGGAAGGCAGACTGGGAAAAGCTAAAAAGAAACCAGCATGGGGTCAGTCACATGATGCATTCAAGCTCCGACTGGTAGGCACCAGATTCTGCTGCCAATCAAGTTTTTAAACAAAGCAGTAATCTACTTTCGAAAAGCTTGGAGTTTCATTCTCCCTGTTCGTGAAATTATGCCCATTCCCAATTTGCCGTGAGAAGATCGATCCATCATTGCACGGCATGTTTTGAACATGTCAAGATTCCTAACTCTACGTACAAGTTTGGTCGACGTGTTACGAGATCTGGGAACATTGCTAATTTACTTCAATATATAACATTTTACGTTCCGTTGCGAGCCTAGGAAAACACTATATTAGGTTTCAGAAATAATTTGTTTTACTTCTTAATTATTTTAAAGAAACTTAGCGAGTAAGTTCAAGACATTGTAATTCTGCTATGGTGGCATAGACACAAATCGTCAATAAAGGAGGCTAAAATAAAAATAAAATACTGTTTGAATAATTGTCCTTCATGTAATCATAGACTTTCTTCCTGTTTGAGCTTGTACTGAAAGATTTCGCAACGATTCTCGAGACTAGAGTAAAAATAATCACAGGATTCCCTGTGGTCGTAACGCACTCCGTCCGTGGTTTCGAATCTGTCCTAGTAACTGAATTCCACCTGATCGTTGATGGATATTTTGTGTTCATCCACGGCAGCCGCTAAACTGCCTCTAAATTTGTCGCCTCCAGGAGGCGCGCTCGGTGCTCTTCGAAGTGAGATCTTCCCCGTCCCCCGGACCCGTTCTCAACCTGAGCGCATTCCGATCCAAGCCCAAGACTTCTGTTCCTCCCACGTTCTCGTTCTGCCTGCTCTAAAAACAAAATGTGTCCACATATGGAGTGGTTTCCATGTTCCACCGAACCCAGGCCATCCGTTGCCCATGATGGAGCCCAAAAAGTACGTGTGTCTCTAATGGAAAAGATTTACTGCGCTACAGGTTCGTGTTCATTCAAACAATTTTAAATACTCGAACTTTGGAGAGGGTCAATTGCTTGGCCTCGGCCATCTTTAGAACCCAAGTTTGTTAGTAACAGGAGCCCAGATGAAGGAGCCCAAACAGAATGTCTGTCTCCGGGAGCTTGCCGCTTCGTGCGTTCATACCGGAGGACCACCGTAGGATGTGGTACCTCGGAGTTTGGGTTTTTCCAACTTTATGTTGTGATCTGTAGAACATAGGCATTATACACAACATTGCAGTAGCTTATTCATCATTTAATTTCTTCTGTATTTATTACCTTTGCTAGAGCTGGCAAATTGGGTGGTCCTTACTCTTGTCAAGTTTTCATTCCATTTAACAAGAAGCTGCAAAAACAGTACTTAAATCACTGTATTATTGTACAGTTCTCAGATCCAGTATGTAAATTAATTGTGGGTCTGTGTGGACATTTGCATGTATGTATGTCAGCTTAATCAGATTAAGATGCAAGATAGAGTATACCAACTGTGACCAACGATGATATCATGACAAATACAATCTCATAATATATATATATACATACACACAAACGCACACACCAGCCAAGAGGCGATCGAATGATGAAATAATTTGTTGTCAGGTTCTGAAAATAGTAAAAATCTCACAGAAGAATGATAAGCAGCATAGTCCAACTTACCACATCCCTCACAATCGGCCATTAATCACCCACTTAAGAACTTCCATCAACCATTAAATCCACCACTTGTGACAAAAATTGACACTTAAACGCAGCATAACCGGGAAGTAACCCACAGTGATTTCATTCATCGACAGAAACCGCGACCACGAGATTCTCGTGAATCTGACGGCGTATCACACTACCACGTGTCGACGAACGCCGATGGCGACTTCTATTCCCGGCGGTTGCGGACTTAGATGGACGAAAAGGGATCCAAGACGACGAAATCGTCGACGAGCGAAAGGTTTCGTCGATTTGCTCACGCGCCAACAATTTCCCTCCGTCGCAGTTCTCGAGATTAGTCTTCTAATTTCTCGTGGCTAATTAAACCCCCTTTTTAATTTCTTTTTGTTTCCCCCCTTTCTCCCGTGTATTCAATTTTCCATGACTTATTTGATCACCAAACTTTCCTTGATTTTGGGGAAATTTTTATTTTGATTTTCTCAAGCATCCTAAATTTAATTAAATCTGGCATAAACTCAATGGTGTACCCCCATGCAATTGTGATTGACCTAGTCAATACAACTTTGTCATTGGTTCAAATCATATGGGAACTAGAGGGAAACTCAGTGAATCCAAATAAGGGGGGGATATGACTCAATCATGCTGAGTCATGATCCATCAACTCTTCCCTCCTTTCAACATCTTTTTAGGGGGGTCTTCTCTAGGTCTATCATGAGCATATCTGTGTCACTTCAGCATTCCTGTGACTGGGGGTGTCCACCACCTTTGCTGAGACACTAATCACCTCCTTTGTCTTTCTCTTTGTGCTCCTTTGGGTTTTGCTGTCTGCAAGGTCAGAGATGATTGGCATCTTCAATACCCCCTCCCCCCCCCCCCCCCACAAACATGGATCAAAAAACACAATACCACCAACAAGTTGACATTATCCTGAGTTACTTTGGTGTTTCATGGTAACCATCATATATATAGGAAGATAGGTAAATAGATGCATTGCTTTCATGTGAGAGACAAATGGTTCTAACTATTCAAATATATATGTATATATATATATATATATATATATATGAGAATGTTAAATAGACCCAAGATTTTACTAAATCAACCCACCCATTGTAACCATCATGAAAAAAAATGACCTTTACATTCATTTCTTGACTGTTGGACATGGAACCAATAAAAACCAACCATGTTTCTCATGATTACCATATTCATAACTAAGAGTGGGTAAATTTGGTAGAAGCATGGGTCTTTTTAACATTCCCCTATATGTGTGTGTATATGTTATTTCATGCAAGCAATATACAATGAAGAAATAGAGCATGCAAGTACATTTGTGAAGTAATCATTGAGTTATTTTATTTTATTTTATCTATTTATTTATCTTCCACTTCATTTTATCTTTCTTGATACTGAATAAGTATGAATATAAATATGCACATACAGACACTCATATATTTTTATACATATATATTCCTACACATTTAATGCATGAAATATTATTTTGAAATCAACAAAATAGGTCAAGAATTTTTTTGAACATTTGCTAGTGGTCAATGGTTTCTATTTATGATAGCAAAGTGGGGGAGGACACAACAGGGGGAAAAAAATGGCAAAATTACGGTTTGATGAAATGCTCAAAAATCATAGTTTAGTTCCATGGACCACCAATTAGGACCCTTTTCGAGCACTGGAGTGCGGAAACAACCACCGAAAGGAGCAATGTTGGCTGACACCGTCCGTCGCCGACCACGCAGCGTAGGGTCCCCCTCTGCGGCGCCACCCATGCGGCCACCCGCCATACCAGATCCCGCCTTGAGAAGGCCCCTCCATAATACAGGCGGGAGTCTGCTTCCCGCCCGATTCAAAAAAACCTCCCGCGCGCCTTGGTTCTATTACGACGGTGACGATTCTAGGTGGAATTGTCGTCTTCTCCAACCGGCGAAGGTTTCATTGCGCCCTTGGATGTAGCCGTGGTACAGACTGGCCTTTCGGGTGGCGCTATTGTTAGCGAGCCTATTGGATTTCAGCCTCTCCTTGCACGCCGCAGTTTGAGAGACCAAGGATCCGTCCCCCTTGAGCCGGTGGATCGTAACTTCCATAGGAACACTCTAGGTTAGTTGAAGTGCTAATTTCTGTCGATGAAGTCTCAAGTGCTGTGCGAAGCGCAGTGCTAGGGAATCTCGACTGGTAGTTTAGTCGAGGGATGGCAGTGCTCGCATTGTTTTGCACCGTGGAGGATACGTCAGCGGCGTACTGTCGTCGGACATCCTCGTATTAGTAGCGCTCAGAAGCTCGGCCAAGGCTGCGTGTTTTCAGGGGTGCACCAGGTGCTATGCGGAGTGGTTATTGTTAGGGTGTTTGCGGCATAGTGAAGAGTGGTCGCGCGTGAGCTCGGTGGGAAGCCTAATTGTTGGTGCGCTCATGTGCTCGGAGTTCATGTCAGGGGTTGCCAGTGTTGGAACAGGGGCTCTAATGCGGGGTGAAGTTTTGAATCGTAGTGGGAGGTTGGCTGACATGTAGTCGGAGAGAGGTCGAGTTAGTTGAGGATGTCCTATTCTTCTTAGTGGTGAGTGTTAAGGGTATCAAGTTTCGGAGGTTAGCAACGACTCGACTGGCGTTGTGGCGAGCGTCGCTATGATGGAGGTTGTGTTTGCTTGCGTTTAATTTTAATCAAGCGCCACTTTTGTCGTCTTGGCCACAATTTTCTCGAGCAGTGAGAGCAATGACGATTGTACTGCGCTGTTCTCCTCGTAGCATTTCTTAGTGCTCTTATAATCATTATTGTTGAGTTCGTTCTAGTGAACTGCAATTGTAGTGATTGTCTGCGTGGAGGTGCGATTCATATCTACGATAAATGAAAATGATGACTCGACTGAGGAGGAGAGGGGATGCCTCCAGAAGTGAACATGGACAACCTGATGCTGTAACATATGTGAGGCGCCAGAGATGTGACTCCACTAGGAACTGTGTGGGAATTGAAGTCGGTCTGGAGGATCGAGCTGGCTCCTCGTGTGCTTCGTCATCGTACCGTAGAGTTCCTGAACTAACTCGCGGATCATCACATATATCTTTAAGGTTCCATACTCAATGCTTGTACTCTCTGGCCGAGTGGTGTTTTAGTCTGTCCCTTGGTAGTATCGGAGGCTCTAAACTTTTTCATTATTGACCTCAGAAGCGTCACTGGTTCCCTGCAGGAGATGACGCTTCATCTTGTAACATAATTGCCATTTTTGTTTCCAATACAGACTGCCATCGTCTTGTTCACTTGTCATTATTGCCTTCTGAACTGACACATGTCCTCTACGTCTTTCAGAGGACCCGTGCTGAGAGCTGATGGGGCGGCAGTAACGGAGATTAGGGTAAATTCTATTAGTGAGCAGAGAATCAAAGGTTTAGACCGTAATGTGGATACTCGATCTCAAGTTACTCATAGGCGCAAGAATTGGAGACCAGGGCAGGCGGTTAAATTAGTGGATGTACAAAATATGTCTTGCATTCCTGATGCCCCTTTAGAAAAGGGGAGACTAGTTGAAGACATCGATGTAGGGTGCGGTGCTCTTCCAGATGAACTCGATAACGTAAACTCGTTCACCTTGTTATCACCTTCAGAAAAATCTCCAATTTCGACATCACAAGAGTTTGGGCCTTCATATCCCCAAAGGAAGAAGTTAGTGGCACCTAGAACACCTCTTACCCCCGCTTCGCAGCTTACTGTGATGCAGACTCCGATGCGTAAGATGAAGTTTCAATCTAGATCTGAATCTCCTTTGGAAAGATTGCCGGTCGAGCTACTGGTACAGATTTTGTCCTTGTATACTGCTGCTTTGCAGTATTGTGACATTTTTTTTTTGAGTGCAGAGTTGTAGTTGGTGGTGAGCCTTCACTGTCACATGGTTCATGCTTGTTTTATTCAGTTTATGTTTGGGCGGTGGTCTCTACATTTTCTGACGATGCGCCCTGTAACGTGATTTAGGTACATATTGTATGTAGACTACATCATGACCAGCTTAAACCTGTCTTCCACGTCTGCCGGTCCTTACAACAAGCGGTAAGCCCAAATCCTTTTCATCAACTTGTAATAGTGCGCATGCGCATGTTTCGGCTCTTAATTTCTGAAGGTGATGTTTGGCATGTTAGTCTCTGGATTTGGAAGATTGTCTTATTATTGCGTGATTTGGATCACTGCAACTACCTCGCTCATGTGCTGGAATTTTTTATTCCGCAGGTTAGCATTGCTAGGCAAATGCATTTCAATTTTACTACGCCGGATTATGAAAGGCAAAAAACTGTCAGTTTTTACACTCCTAAACGTCATCGAGACTTTTACTTCACGTAAGTTACATTTGCTGTCTTCAATTATCTTCCTCTTGGCCTTTGACATGCACTCGATGTTGTCTTTCTAATGCCGACGGATGGGTTCTATGTGAACCCACTTGTTATGATGTGCGCTGTTCGTTTAAGATGTATACTTTATGTCTTAACATCTTTTATTTGTGTAGTGTTAGTGAAGCTCCTGGAGGTACATTGGATGTGCGACCTCCAACACCTCAGGCTCCCAGACACCCCCCTAAGCCACAACATGCGCGAATTCCATTGGCTGACATGAAAGCAATTGTTGCTCCGTTGTTTCAAGGTCCCAGAGATACCCCTCACAGACCTCCAGGTATACCTCGTCCAACATTCAAAGCAGTGGCATCGCACCGGGTTCTCTTCAACGAAGAAGAGTTTCGTGATGCAGGAGCCCCAGCTACAGTTGCAAGTTAGGCTTCACTACCATGAGCTCATGGTAGTGAAGCCTAAAACGCTTGTCCGTGAGGACTTCTGTGGTACATGTTGATTATCAAGTGTCTGCCCAAGCAAATGCTCGTCGCCCGGGTGTACCATCTAAAGAACAACTTATATGGAAGATGTGTCGGACCGTTTTCAACCGAGAGTCGAAAACATGGCCATCCGCCATCGATATGTATCCTCTACAAATGTGGAAATATAGATGAAGCTGAAAGTAGAGCAGCTTCGGAGAATGTAACATATTTTTTAAAACATCCACTAGGTGGATATGAATGTGAAATAAACTTCTGTACACAGTCTTTGTACAGAAACCCCACTCTGGATAGTTCAGTTAATACCATTCACAGCATGACTAACCTCACTCCGGGAAATTGTCCGAGCAAGGCATGTCGCGTGAGTAAATAATTGCTGTTGTAAACATTAAGCTGGTGGCACAACACAACGTGAGCCTGTGTGCGTCACCTGAAGTAACGGTAGACGTAGAACTTGATGCAGGAGGTACCAGCATCACTAGCGACTGCTGCCTCCCAGCGGGTTCGACGAGGACCGAGATCTATCATCCTTGCCTCTGGAGTCTGGCGGGATTGGTGTCTTTCATTTCGAGGAAAACATTACGTTGTGTCCTTCTGTTGGTGCCCACGACTTTTGTGATGTGTGTTCGGGGTTAGCAGCAAGTCAACTGGGTTGAAGGAGTCAGTTATGATCAGGCGCGCCTTTAAAAATCTACCACTTGAACGACCAGAAGGACACTTGCTTACTGTTTTTTTAGCCAGAAACTGGTAACATAGCATAGCTTACACAGGAAGGACAATGTAGGAGGGACAAATGCAGTAAGTTCTGCGCTTTTTGGCCAGAATGTGCTACATCTTAGGATAATATTTCCAATTCCCAACCCGCACGGTGCTGCAATCTTCACTGTTTCAGAAGACGATGCTGATAGCAGTATAAAAATTCTTTTGCAAAGTGTGCTCATCATTGTCAGACTGATTTTCAGAATCCGAATGATGTCGAAGTGTAGCACAAGGATCCGACTGCCGTGGGTTGAACAGCCTCTTCCATCCCCCCGTTCCAGCAGTCCAAGCCATGATCTGTGCAACGAGAGAGTCAGGGCTTCATCATTTCTTCCCAAACACAACTTGAGATATGTCCCGTTTATCTACTTAATCGACTCGTCATAACCCGGCGAATGGCCATTCCAGATGATTGTGGATTCATTTGAAGCTGGTCGAGATAGTGCACAACGACGACCTGAGTTGTGTAAGGCTGGAGATGGAAGTGTTCCTCATCTCGAAAAGGTGAAATGCATCGTGGCAATCCGGACGGTACGGATCCTTCAGTCTCAAGAGGATTACTAGTTGCATCAAGCGCAGATGGTGACCATGCCCTGCTTGTCAAATAAAAACCGCACCTTTCTTGACGAGCAAAGGTTTGAAGCATTTCAAACCATCTTTACATGCTTCTTGAGACCTGTTGCGTCGATAGTTGGACAAAATGCGTCGATGTGTGATCGTTTTTATCAATATTTCAATACTGTAGAGGGACAATGCTTGAACTTCATGAACTATCAGCACATTGTATTGAAAGTTTGATAGTTTAAGAATAATGGGTAGTCTAGCTCTGAAATTTGTTTAAAGATAATTACAAAAAGTATGTTTTACTCTGATGTTCTAAACTTTCTTAAAAGGGTCACATGTCTAATAAATATGACAAAAGGTTATAATCTTTTTTGTTCAAGTGCTCAAACAAATGTTAGATTCGGTGTTTGTGGTTCATTAATTTTTGTTGTTCTCAAAATTGATCAAAGAAGTTTTACAGACTCGCAACAAATTTACTACAATAATATTTTTTTAAATATTGTATTGTAGTCCCAATAAAGAACTTAAATTTCTCACTTTTTAATATTTTAAAACAGATTTTTTTTATTTTTAGTTTTTAAAATTTATTTGTATCAAGTTATCAATAAAATATTCAAATATAAAACCTAATTTATTCTTTAATTCCAACCTTTAAGTTATATTTAATTAGCACTATAGATAAAAATTTTCAAAATTTTATTATTAAGACTTCAAAATTTAAAACTAATATTAGTTCTTTAATTAGTAGATTTTTTTAAAAAAAATTAAATAAAATTTAGAATTTTACAAATACTTGGATAAAATATATATGTAAATTCTACAATACATAGATTTTCTTACTCTAATATGGATAGAAACTACACGATAAATCTATTATTTTTGTATATTAGTTACTATCAAGATAAAAAAAAAAACTTTATTAGTTTAAAAATTTCATTTGAAGATTTTATCAAATTTTATCTAATAAGTTTTAAAAATAAATTACACACTTAATTTTTTTTAGAATTTTATAAATTATATTTGCCACATATTGAAGTCAACTATAAGTTCATACAAATATTATTCCTGAGATAGAAATATAATATCAATAATTATTTAGTTTTTTAAAATATAAACATATATTATACACAATGTATTTTTATGATATATTAATATGTAAAAAATTTATATTAGAATAGGTTAATCCACAAAAAAAAAGATAATTAAAAATATTTATAAATATGAATATACTAAAATTTTATTTAAATAAGTAAAAAAATTATAACAATTTTGGTTATTTTAATAGTAACTATGTTTACTTTAATAAAAATATCAAATTTAAAACATTGAATTATAATTATCTTACTCATTTACATGTAAAATTTTAAATTATACTTTTGATAAAAATTATGAATCAAAATTGTATTTTAAATTTCTATTAGTGATTTTGACATAAAATTTACTTATATTTTGCTAACTCAAAAATTACACATAATTTTTAATCAAGAAAATTTAAAAACTAAATATGTAAATTGGTTTAGATTTTAAACAAAAACTTACATTGTTCAATTTACCACTTTTTAAAACTATGTTCATTTTTAATAGTTCTTTTTACAATTAAATTTAAAATATATGACAATATGTAGAAGAATATGTTAATAATAATAAATATAATTATAAAATTCATAAAATATTTTAAATTTATAGATTTAATTTATATATGAATATTTTAAATATTATATTTGTACATGATCATGTTCTAATTAAAAAAATATTAACTTAGGTATTTACAAAATAAACTTCATCAATTATAGATTAGTTCTTTGAATTTGATATAATTAGATTTTTATTAAATGAAGACTTTAAATGATTCAATAGTTTTTTTTTTTTTTTTTTTTTTTTTTTTTTTTTAATTCTTTTTTATTAAATAAAGAATATTTAGTTAAGATTTTTTTATTTCTTACATGAAATTAATAAAAAATAAAGAATTTTATTTCTTTTATTAATTAAAAAATCACAAAAATAAAATAGAAAATTAAAACTTATAATTATTTAAGATTACTTATCAAAAATTTTATTCTTTAAATTTGATATTTATCTTCATTAAATAAAAAAAATTAAAAATAATATTATAAATAAATAAGTGTTAAATTATTATATTTAAATATCATGCTGAATATATTATTTTTAAAATTTATAAATCTTTTATTTATAAAAAATATCAATAGATATTGTAAAAATTATTTAAAAAAAAAATTGCAAATAAAAAACATAGATAGGACAAAGTGTCAAAGACATGAATCTTGAAGAAAAAAAATCCTTAATACACTTTTGTGTCACTCAAAAGAACTAGAAAGTCATTGAAAGATGATATGGTATTAAACTAGAATGACTATTATTAAAGACAAGAAGGCTAGAAAGTCTAGAAACAAGACTAAAGATTAGAAAGGTGTTGACAAGAGTGAAAAGGCTTCAACCTTGCCTCTATATATACTCTTAACTAGGAGTTACGTGGTGATATTTAATAAGACCTCCAAAACATGTTGACTTTACAAGATACGTATCTTAACTTATAAGACAAGTTTTCTATGTGTATGCCACATAGTTAGCTTGTTCTGCAAGCTACGAATATGTGGCTAACTTGTTGACCAAGTTTCTAACCTATCAATCAACTACAAATACATATAAATTCAAAGCAACATTTATGAAGGTTTTCTAAAAAATATTATGAAATATATCTACTTTTACCTACTTCTACTTAATCTTATAGATAAATATTAGAATAAATATGTATGTCCATGATATTGTTTTCCTTTCTAAAGATAAGTTCTATGAAGAGCAGTCTTCATATATTGAGAAAATTTAAGATGTGGCAAATTATATTTGTTACATACTCTAATCTTTGTTTTTTTTGAAGATGATTGATAGGTCTTCTCAGCCATTAATAATGTCTCATACGAGGGCAAAAAGATCACTTTGTTATTTGGTTATTGTTGATGCGTTTATAACTTCTTTCAAATAAAATATTTGGAACACTGTCAGGAGTTCTTTCTACCTCTAATAAAGTTACCAAATATTGAGAGTTTCTTCCAAGGTTGTGATATTAAACATATTATATTTTGCTATCTATTCAAGGCAAGTTATGTTATTTTTGAGGATCTTCATCTCGATTATGTTGTCTTGAAGGTTGTAACAATAGTAATGTCTTGTCTCATAAGTCAGCAAATGAAAGTTCTTGAGTTAAATCTATTAGTTGTTGATTCTCAATCTTCTTAACAATGTAAATATAGAGAAGCTATCGACAATGGTAGAAGGTAGAATGCTATCTTTCTTAGATCTTATTTCTTTTATAATAAAGATTCATTATTCTTTAACTTAATTTTGATGGATGTTGTTTATGAAAAGCCTCAACTCTCTTTGCTGCAATTGCAAGATTTTTTATTGGCTCCCATGTACATTCATTAATACCATAATTCCACCAATAAATAAGACATTTCAATCTATTTTGGCACCGCTTTGAATCTATGACTTCTACTATCTCGAACTCTTGATTATTATCTACTTCTATAGAAGGAAATGACATTTGTCTTCTTCTCAAGATATTCATTGCCTTATATGACTCAAGAAGAGACACGTAAAATACAAGATGTGTAACATGGTATATATAAGATATTTTTGTAGGGATAGATAATTAGAACTAAAGAAGTTTCTAGAATTGGAGTTAATTTAGTGGACTAGGTAGGATCCACCATGAAACATTTTAGAAAGAATTTAGAATGGTTATTTTACTCAGGCCCACCATGGAACCTTCTAGAAAAGGCTTAGAGTGGTTTTCTACATGGGGCCCTCCATAAAACCTTCTAGAAGGAGTTTAAGACGATTATCTAAATGAGATCTACTAGTTAAGAATATTCTAGAAAGTCTAAGGTGGTAGAACAAAATATAAATAAGACTTGCTAGGACCTTTTGGGGCACCTGGTCAAATATGGGTACAAACCTTC